CCCCAAAGAAAATTCCATCTTGCGGACAAATTTCAAAATTATAAAGTTGCAAAACTTTCCTCCTCTTTTGGTGTTTTCTGAAATAAAAAAAACTAAAAATTAAAAGAAAAAAGAGAAAGATAAAAAATTAATAAAATAAAAAATATTTTGTAAAAATTATTCCTATCAATAAAAATTTACTCCAAATAAAAAATTTAATTTAAATTAAAAAAAAAAAAATTAAATCGAATTTCCAACAAAGAAAAAAAATCCAATTCGGAAAATTGTGAGTTCAACAAATTCATTAAAAGCTTTGGGTGTGTCACCAATTGACTGAATCATTTGAAATTCTTCAGACCTTATATTCGCAATATAAAACAGGACAAGGATTCTATTGACACACTATAAGCTATGGGATTGAAAGACTCAATTGTCTGCTCATCGTTTTCTTGCTCTTGATCTTCAATTTTTATATACAAAGCAAGAATCAAATTTTTCTCCATAATATTTAAATACACTGAATTTTTATTCATTTTTTCACCCTTTTTTTTAACTTTTAATTTATTATATAGTTAATTTTCTACAAATTACTAATAACTTAACTCATATTAGCAATTTTTCAAATATTTTCCGTAATATTCCTCAACGTGTTTATATTGCAGAGAGATAGTTAAATCCAAGCTAATAAAGAATCATTTAGTAGAAAACAAAGAGATGCATTCAAGGCTTTTCCTTGAAATATATAACTAATACACATCTTTCATCCCTATGGCATTGGGAAAAAGAAATAAATGTTGAGACACTTGTGAATTTTTTTTTTCTTTTCAATTCAGTATACTTTATTTTAAGAAGAGGCATCACTTTTGTATATAAAATAAAATTGAAACGAATACTTTACGGGCAATTTATGAAATAAAAATGAAAAACTCAAGTGGTGAAATTAAAAAATTAGAGAAGTAAAGTTTTTTTTTCATTTGTTCATTATAAATTAACTTCCTGTTGGATGTCTATAAGTCATGAAGAATTTAATCGACTTTTAGGTCAAGTAACGTCGGACGGTTTTAGTGGATAATTAAATAAAAGCTCTGAGATCTTACTCTCGACAATGCGAGGGATCACTAATTTTCTATTTTCCACGTTATTATAGACGAATTTAAAAAAATAATTTGACAAAACATTTTCTAAAACGTTTTAAGTGTAAAAATTTTTATAAAACGTTTTCTAAAATATTTTAAGTAAACATTTTTAAAAAAAAATTTTAAGTAAACATTTTAATTAAACATTCTTACAAAATATTTTATGTAAACATTTTAACAGAACATTTTTACAAAACATTTTCAAAAGCATTTCTACAAAAAATTTTAACAAAATATTTTTTAATACAACAATTTTTATATTTACAGAACTTGGATCTAATTTTTTGCAAATTTAATATTTCATAATTGATAAGTAATTAATTATACACGTGTACTTATTACTTACATAATATTATCCATTTCTCTCCGAATATAATTTCCCCAAAATTAATTTCAATTAAAGGGGAATTTCTAATTAGTCAAAATTTTTCTTGATTATTTTTTCTTTTCGTGCAAAAAAAAAAAGAGGAATTTGGTTCACTTGATAAAAAGAGAATTTTAGTGTAAATGAGAGCGAAGCTGCTGTATAGTCTTTTTAAGCGGTAAATTGGCCAAGATGGCAAGAAGGGAAAAAAGAGAGAAGTTTCAGAGAGCGAGAGAGCGAGAGAGAGAGAGAGAGAGAGAGAGAAAGATGTAAGAGAGAATCTGGTGGTAGGCTGATTTAATGACTTCCCGAGGTCAGTTCAATGAGGGCTACTGTTTGTCATTCGCTAACTCTTATCCTGTGTGTAACTTGCCATCAAGAATATCCCCAAGCAAAAATATCAATTTTTTTTTTAGTAAATTATTCTTTATTTTTCAATATTTAATATTTAACTTTTTTATTTTTTACTATTTAATATTTTTCATTTGTTGATATTTAATATTTCTTTTTAATATTTAATATTTATTTACTGAACTATTTCAGACTTAGAACTGAAGTAGCTTCAAGACTGAAAAAATTTAAAAAGTATAGTAAAAAAGTAGCTAACGAAAAATTCAATTTGTAAACTAAAAAATTCGTTTCTATTTGATTCAAAAAATCACTAAAATTTTATTCTGTATTTTATTCTCCAGACTTTTGTCTGATTTCCATAAAAAATATTCACCTTTTTTTATCCAGATAATAACTTCAATTACAAATTTTTCTAAAATTCAATTATTCTCCAAATTTTCAGTTCGAATTCTTCAAAAATAGGATTATATTTAAAAATAATTTTTGAAAGTAAAAAAAAAAAGAAAATTCTTTAAAATATAAAATTTATTGCAAATAAATCTGATAAAATTTCCGATTATAATTGAGAAATTAATTTAATTTTTTTAAATTATTTACGAGAATTTAACTGTTTTCAAAAAATTTCAAATACAATTTTTCAATATTAATTTTGTTCATAGTCTCAAAAGACAATTATTCAAAACAAGAATAATTTTTGTTAAATAAATATTTAAATACTTATTGTTATTTATTTTTTCAACAGGAAATAAAATTTTTAATAATTTCATTGTAAAACCATTTTGAAATTCAACTAATTCTAAACATTTTAATGTAATTTTTTTTAAACGATTCAATTATTTCCAAAAATTCTCCTTAATTCAATGATTTTCAATATCTACTATTTTAATAAAATTTCCCAAAAGAATTTAATTATTTCAAAAAAAATTGTTATAAATTTCTTTAAAAACATTCAATTTTTAGAAATAATAAAAATCTTCTCAGGAATTCAATTCTTTAAAAAAAAAAATTATAATAAAATTCGTTGCAAGAATTCAATTATTTTTATAATTATAATAAAATTCATCGCAGGATTTCAATTATTTAATTATTTCTAAAAATTAATTTTCAAATTTTTTTTATTCAAATTCATAACACTTATAATATTTAATTGTTATAATTATAAATTTTTTCAAATTTTGTGAAAATAATTGAATTCTTTCGAACAGTTTTAATAAAATTTCTAAGAATAATTGAATTTTTAGAGGAATTTATTTAAAATTGTATTAAAAAGTAATTGAAAACCTACGAAAAATTGAATTATTTATGAAAATAAGTAATTCAAATTCGTGCAACAAATTTTATTAAAATTTTTTTTTAGTGATTGAATTTCTGTAAAAAATTTTATTACATTTGTAAAAATAATTTAATTATTGCCTAAAATTTTATGGAAAATTTTGAAAATAATTGAAATTGGTTTCAAAGAGTATTATTAACATTTTTTGAATTGTTTCTAAGAACATTTAAAAAATTTTTGAGAATAATTTTTCTTTACTTCAACTATTAATTTTTTTATTTTAAAATTTTTAAATATTATTTAATTTAATTAAACTTTTTTATTATTAAAATTAATTTCATTAAAATTTAAAAATTAAAAGATTTAAAGTAGTTCAACTTATTGAAAAAATGAAAAAAAGAAACTATTTTCTTTTTTTTTGCTGGATAAAATTATCCTCTAAAGTAAAAATTTCCAAATTACAAAAATATTTGAAATTAAATAAAATTTCTAAATTTAATTCATACGAAGAGAAAATAAAATAAAAGAATTCTATGCAATTTAGTGTAATTAATTATTTTTTGGAATTTATAATTTATAAAATATAATTTGTAAAATATAATTTATAAATATATAAAAAATAATTTACAAACTAATTATATATAATTTACAAAGTATAAAATAAACAAAAAATAATTTACAAAGTAATTGAAGTTTTCTCAAAAAGTTAAAAGAAACTACTTCCTAAATTTATAAAAAAAAAGCTCTTCATTTTATTCCTATTATCTCATTATTCAATAAAAGATTGGATTTTTAAAATTGAGCCACATTTCTAGATCGTGAGAGAGCAACTTGATTCTTAGTGCACTCTGTCAATTATTTAATATCATCTTCTAAATTGGTAAATGCGTAGGAGTAACTTTTATTAGGATTTCCTTAATTTCTTTAACTAGTTACTAATTTTATTTTTTCTCTTTCCCCAAGAGGATACACTCTACACTTTTATTATTGAGAGTAATAGTGAATTAATTAAATTAATAAAAATTAGTTTCTACAACAGGAATTATATAATAATAATCCATAGATATTCTCTTTTATGTAATATAAAAAATATTTACCTCTTGTTTTCTTTTTCCAGAGAAACGTGAATGAAAACGGCATTAAAGAACAAAAAGGAGAAATGCTCCGGGAAAAAGCGGAAATCAACTTTTGTTTTCTTCATGTTATTGAAGAAATTCCAACATCCTGTCCTGTTCCTAAGTACTAGTGCCGCAGGAGTGACTAGACTGGACTAGAATTACCATGTCTCCTGCTGCTCAAGTGCTTATCAATGGGTCGGGACACACACCGTCATCAAATAAAAACAACTTTTCTTACCTGTAAAAAGAAAACAGACAAATATTAGTAAAAAATAATCGGGGGCAATAAAATTAAATGTCAGCCAGTTTAAAATCACTTTTAAGTGTAAAATTAGAAATTCTTTTCAAGTAAAATGTGTAAAAAAAACAAAAAATGCTTAAACATTTTTTTCCAAGTAAAAGTAATTGTAGAAAACAAAATCCCCACAAAGCCAAGGTATCTACTCATTTTATTAATAATAATTCTTATTCGTTTCATCTCCAAGATCAGAAAATGTTTATTTTATTATTGATACAAGTTTACTGCAAAAAAATATTCCAATTTAGCTTTTTTTTTTAAAATGAAATTCATTTTATTTAATTATTATTTATTTACTTTATACTTTATTTTGGGAAATAAATAATACTTTATTGACGGCAATAGTGCTATGCAATTATTGCTTTATTTTATTTATATAATTTACGGCTTCCAAAAAATATTGAATTTATTTTATTATTATCGATGAAATTTGTAGACACCCTGAATAATCTTTGTGCGTGGAATAGCGGCATTTCGAAAATTCTGTTCAATAATAAACTTTATTAAATTATATACAACGTGTTATACATATAATATTAATTAATAATCTTAAGTGAATGCCCAAGCGACTGCCAAGGGATCATCGATTTGTTCGGATTTTGGAAGAATTTGCGAATCCATGGATCTCAATTTTTTACCGCCTTCTCTGTCGGCAGCTCCGGAGAACCATCTTGTTGTTGCCGAAAGAATTTCCGACTTTCCAACTTCCGGAAAAACATTACTCAACACGTCTAAATCAAATATGTGAAAAATATGAGATAAAAAATGTATAAATCCATAAAAGAAATGGAAAAACGAATTTAATTCTAAAATAATTATAAATTAGAATAATTAAATTTACCGTCAATGCAATGAAAGAGAGGTGTCGCACTGAAATTCTCCTTTCCTTTTCCTTTAACTTTTCGACCCTGGCCACTAAATTTTAATTGTATAGCTTTTGTCATTGTCGATGACAGCATTTTCGAAAGACTTCCCTTTAAATTACTGCAACCTCTTTGTGCTCTATACAAAAACACTTTCTGCAAAGAAAAATTTTTAGTTAGACAAAAATGGACTTCACCAAAATAGAAATGTAATAAATAAAATTATTGAAAATTAAACAATTGCGTATTTTAATTATTCCAATCTAAAAACAATAAAATTATTAAAAATTAGCCAATTTTATTACGTATTATTTATTATTTTCTAAAATATCAATAAAATTCTTTGAAATACTTCAATTATTTTCATTAGTAATACAATTTTTCACAAGAATTCAATTATTTTCATTAATAAAAAGATTCTTCGCAAGAATTCAATTATTTTCACAAATAATATAATTCTTCATAAGAATTTAATTATTTTTAATAAAATTTAAATGTAATTCCTCGAAAAAATTTCATTATTTAAAAGATTTTAATTCGTCTATATAATTTAATAATTTTGAAAAATGTTGATACAATTCTTTATAAGAATTCATTCAATCTTAATACAATTTTAACTAAGTTTTAGGTAAAAAAATTATTTTTCTTTGAAACAATGAAATTATTTTGTACATATTTGTATTTTTACAAATGTTATTGTATTTTTATTAATTCAAAGAATAATGAAGTGTTTCACAGGAATTCAATTATTTTTAATATAATTTTAACTAATTTCCTTGAAAGAATTTTAATTTTCTTCGAAATAATTGAATTATTTTCAAAAATTTTAATAAAATTTCTTAAAAGAATTCAATTATTTTCAACAATGTTCATAAAATTCTTAAGAAGAATTCAGTTAATTTCAGTACAATTTTAATTAAATTTCCTGAAAGAATTATTTTCAAAAGTTAGTAATAAAATTCTTCGAAAAAATTCAATTCTTTTCAAAGATTTAAATAAAATTCTATGCAAGAATTAAATTATTACAGAGTCGAGATTACAAATATGTTAAAAAAAATTAGGATAAAAATTTTTTTTAACAAAAATGTCATTTGAAATTTTTTAAAAATCCACTTATTAACACAAAATTATGTAAAATGTAATTTCTAAATTTTTCTCGCTGATATGTTTCATAAAAACTTATTCTCTGAATGAGTAACAAATAAAATTTCCAAATTTAATTATGATTTTCAATTCAAAATAATTTTGTTTAATTTAATATTTCTTATTTTTTATAATCTTCAAAACATTAAATTCGAAATTCATTAATTTTAAAAATAAAAACAAGAAAAATTATTTAAAAAAATTGGAAACAAAAAAGCAAATAAAAAGAACTAACGTCAAACTGCAAACCTACCAGAATACAATAATTATTAATACAAATTGAACAATTAAGTATTTTAATTATTCAAACCTTAAAAAAATAAAATTCTTCTAATAAATAAATTTAAAAAATAACGATTTTTAATTATTCTTACCATATGCTTCTCCTTTTCACTGTCTTGAGAAATAGTTTGCGATAATTTGACAAATTGTTCCATATTTTCAATGGGAAATTTAATTCCAATTGCATTATTTGTATCATTATTTTCCAAAATAGAAGCTTCAGTATTTGATGTCAAATGATTCAAAATATCCTCTGTCTTCTTATTAATCTCGTGGGAAATACTCCGCTTCACTGATTCAAGTTTCGTTATTATTCTCGCCTCAATTGCTTGCAGTTTTTTATCCAAAAATTCTTCCCAAGAATCTAAAAAAATACAAGAGTTAAATTAAAATAAAATTAAAATAAATAAATTTTTATTGCAATAATTTTGCATCTCTATAAAAAAATTAATTATTAATAAAAGTTCTAATTATAATTATAATAATTAATAATCGAAAATCACCAGTTGCATTGTTATCAGTTTTCTCTGCTGTTTCTTTAGTTGATGAAAAGTCTGGTGTAATCCTCATCGGACTATTAAGATTATATACCGAGTTGTCTACGAATTAATAGAAAATAATATTGTTTTTAATAATAATATTATTAATAATAATATAGTTTTTGTTAAAAAAAAGAAATATACCTTCACCGTAAAATGGTTCATTCGATTCTTCGTATTCAGAATTACGAAACCTTTTTCTTGAATTATTTTCATTGGCAAAATAATCTGAAGATGTTTCGGCATTGTCAATATCAAAAATACGATTTAATTTCCTTTCGCCTTCTTCAAAACTTTCTGCAATTTTAATAAGGAAAAAAATTAGTTTATTAAATTAATTAATTAACATTAATTAAGAATTATTATCTCGAAGTTCTGAACGTTCAAATGAAAGAAATTTTTTTTTTTCTTGTTAAAAATAAATTTTTATTCCAATAATTTTGCGTCTCTATAAAAAAAATTAATTGTCAAGTTTCTAAATGTAAAATTAGTTTTTAATTTTCATTGCAATCAGTAATTTATGAAAATATTTTTTATAAAAAATATTTCGTTCATTTGAACGTTCAAAACTTGTGGATCATTAAAAAATGGCTTTATTTATAAATATTAATAGATTACTAATTATTAATAGATAATAAAGAGCTAATAAATAAGTCTCTAAAGACACAATAAACGTACTTGCTTCCTTTACAATTTTAATATCGTAACGGTCAAAATCGGCGCGTGGTGGAACACTTTCTTTGACCATAGTTTCCACTTGAGAGCTATCTTTTTTTTGTGGGTATAAACATACCCACTTGTCATCGGTTTTTGCGATCCATAAACAGGGGACGAGACGAATGCTTTTTCCAAGAGCATCATTCTCTGACATTTGAACAATCGCATGTGTCGAAGAACTATCTAATTCTTTTGCATCCATAATTGGGATACTAATAAAAAAGGATTGTCATTAAAAATAAGTATTAAATAAACATTTCAAATTTTTTAACTTCTGGAAACGTTCATTTTCAGTTAAACAAACTAAAAACCATTTTTTATAAAATTTTCCAAAATCTATATTGGAATTTATAACACTTTCGAAAAAATCCATTTTTCGTTCGACGGAAATAAATTTCCAATAGAATTTGTAATTTTATAATTTATATAAAACTGCAACAGTTATAAATTATACAATTTAGGAGAGAATAAGAGAATAAAGTATCAGCAAGTATTTGAGGTTATGTCTAACCAGAAATCTACATGCTTTTTTTTATGCGTGAAAAAAGTTTGTGTACACAAACAACAATAGAACCAATCTATAGACATTCTTGTCAAGATCTAAATATTCTTCAATATAAAATCTCGACAAAAGAATATAGTACTATTGGTATTATTTATTCATTTGCAAATGTCAATTGGAAGAAACTGCATTGTTGCATTTATATAGCGTCAGTCACGCTTAACCTCGAATGCATGCAAAACAAAATAAATATATGTTGTTTTTTACCTGTTCTGAAGAGCGAAATGTTTAAAAATCAAAATCGGTGTGAAAAAATATGCAATAATTATAGTAATAAATAAACTAAAAAGAATTTACAACAATGACAATCAAGTTTACTTTACCAAAGTGTTTACAGTGTTGCAAAATTTAGAAAGTTACCAATTGCCATCGTTGTGCGTGCATTGCGCCAGTATCGGCAGTGCTACCATAACAAGAAACAATTAACCGTGAACAACATTAAATTAGGGTAATAATTTTTAAATTCCTTCACTTTCAATAATATCTCACACTTATTTCTGGTGGTATGAAAAATTTTTAAATAATCACTTTTTAAATTTGGAAATTTTGTCAAGAATTTCTATCAAAATAAACATTTTGATTTGAAATTCGCGCCTTCGAAGAGACATCTACCACCGGAAGTTGAAATTAATAGATTTGAATTTGACGCCGATGGCGAATGTTACGAAATAAATATAGATTTCAGACATTTTTATTATATTCGTCACGCTTTTTGTTTAAAATGTTTAAAAATATCAAACAACTAGCAAATGTTACGTGGTACGTGATATTTAATTTATTATTATTACAAAATTTTTTATTTTCAAATATGAATTTTTGAATAATTTCAGATTCAAACTTTAACAAATTTTCAATTATTAACTAATTTACTAATTAATTATTCTTGTTTATTAATTTCAGAAATTTTAATAAAATTCTTCACAAGAATTCAATTATTTTAATAAACAATAATATTATTTGTAAGAATTCAATTATTTTTATAAATAGTAAAATTTTTTGCAAAAATTCAATTATTTTTAAACAATATTTTATTAAAATTTCACGAACGAATACAATTATTTTTAAAAATTTTAATAAATCCTTCGAAACAATTCAATATTATCTTTTTAAATAGTTTTGCAAAAATTCAATTATTTTCAAGAAAATTTTATTAAAGAATTCAATTTTTTTCTTAGTTCGTTATAAAATCTTTGCAAAAATTCAATTACTTTCAACAACAACAAAATTCACGAAAGACTTTAATTTTTTTTAATTCGTTATAAAATATTTCAAAAAAAATTCAATTACTTTCTAAAATTTTTATAAATTCTTTGAAAAAATTAAATATTTTTTAAAATAATAACATTCTTATCAAAAATTCAATTATATTCAAAACTAATTCACGAAAGAATTCAATTTTTAATAATATTTTTTGAAAAGTTAAATTATTTTCTAAAATTTTTAAAAATTCTTTGAAACAATTCAATTATTTTTTAAATAGTAAAATTCTTATCAAAAATTCAATTTTTAATAATATTTTTCGAAAAATTCAATTATTTTCTAAAATTTTAAAAAATTCTTTGTAACAATTCAAATATTGTTTCAAGACGTAAAATTCTTATCAAAAATTCAATTTTTAATAATATTTTTGGAAAAATACAATTATTTTCTAAAATTTTTAAAAATTCTTTGAAAAAATTGAATTATTTTTTAAAGAGTAAAATTCTTATGAAAAATTCAATTATACTCAAAACTATTTCACGAAAGAATTCAATTTTTAACAATTCTTTGGAACAATTCAATATTTTGTTAAGTAGTAAAATTCTTATCAAAAATTTAATTATATTCACAACTATTTCACGAAAGAATTTAATTTTTAATAATATTTTTCGAAACATTTAATTATTCTCTAAAACTTTTAAAAATTCTTTGAAAAAATTGAATTATTTTTTTAAAGAGTAAAATTCTTATCAAAAATTCAATTATATTCAAAACTATTTCACGAAAGAATTCAATTTTTAATATTTTTCCATAAATTCAAATATTTTCTAATATTTTTAAAAAATCTTTGATACAATTTAATTATTTTTTTAAAGAGTAAAATTCTTATCAAAAATTCAATTATATTCAAAACTATTTCACGAAAGAATTCAATTTTTAATAATATTCTTTGAAACAATTCAATTATTTTTTAAATAGTAAAATTCTTATCAAAAATTCAATTTTTAATAATTTTTTCGAAAAATTTAATTATTTTTTAAAATTTTTTAAAATTCTTTGAAACAATTCAATTATTGTTTAAAATAGTAAAATTCTTATTAAAAATTCAATTATATTCAAATCTATTTCACGAAAGAATTTAATTTTTATAAAACTTTGAAACAATTTAATATTTTATAAATAGTAAAATTCTTATGTCTTATCAAAAATTTAATTATATTCAAAACTATTTCACGAAAGAATTCAATTTTTAATAATATTTTTCGAAACATTCAATTATTTTCTAACATTTTTAAAAATTCTTTGAAACAATTCAATAATTTAAAAAAATTTTTAAAAATCCTTTTTAATTAGTAAAATTTTTTGCAAAAATTATTATTTTCAAAAAAATTCAATTTCTTTCTTAATTCGTTATAAAATTTTCAAAAGAATTCAATTACTTTCTGAAATTTTAATAAAATTATTTGTGAGAAAAATAAATTCCAGAATTAAAAAGTGTAAATTTTGAGATTTTCATCAATTTTATTCTGAAAAGTGAAAACATTTTGTTTTTTATCAACGGAAAACTAAATAAAACTACTTACATAAACAAGAAAAAATCATACAATTTCATAATTTTTTTGTAAACTAAAATCAAACCGTTTTTTTAACAAAAAGTAGGAAAAAAAAATATTCTACCAATATTTCCCCCACTTAAATTCTATTTCGATGCAAAAATTCTATACACTTGAATTTTGATATTAAGAACAGTAAACAAAGATTTTACAAAATATCACTTTTTTCTTAGAAAAATATCATTAATGTTTACTTATTAACTAAATATCATCAAGTCTGTCACACTTTCAAAGTATTCCCCTCCCAAAAAAAAAGAAATTATTCCCGATATGTAAAAAACGGATGCAATTGATCGACAATTTCAGGAGCGAGTTTCAAATCATCGATAAAATCTTTAAAAGTGGTGACAATTCGATAAATACTTCGGCGCGTAGCACTACGTAAAGATGTTAAACATTGTCTCAATACTTTGTCACTACTCACGGGTTTTCTCATAAGAACACTCGCCTTTTGCAATTTATCAAGAGCCTGCTTTATACTCAAGAGAGTTTCGATAATTTTCGGCAAATCTTTAAGAACAATCCCATAGGGATCTTCGGTCAAGGAAACAGCGGCTAGCGATGAAATTGCGTCCTCAGCCCAAACAATCGGTTGACTTTTCGACAAAACATGACGTGCTTTACTATCCAATTGCTCGCCGAATATAAAACAAATTAATGGCTTCGAGAAAAGATAGTCGATTACATTTTGTTTGTAATTCTTGTACAGTCGAATGAAGAATTGATCACTAGTAGCTTCGGGTGGAGTTTCCATTGATTTCGTTGTCGACGCTGCCAAACTTCTCATATGATATTGATAAGGTTTTTGATAAACACCACTAGGATTCAATTCACTTTCCAATTGTTTTTCTTCCTTCACCGAAAAAATAGAATTCAATTCCACTGTATATTCGGCGATAGTCGAGAGGCAATTTTCAATAATTTGATTCCAATTATAAGGATGACCGCCGGGTTTGCTGAGAGTGAAGAGCAATCCCCTTCTTGATTTATCCTTCTGCGCCAGGGTCACAAGGTCCAAATATCCCAATTGTCGAATAATCGGTATGTCCTCCATGGCCAAAACTTCGGCAAGTGTGATGCTGAGTTTTTCATTATTAAAGACACTGTGACGCTCAATGTCGAAGGGAATCCATTCGGTGAGCGAGGCTTGAAACATCAAATGCATTGTATTTGCCATTATGACAAACAAAGAGCCATACAACCACAAGTAGAAAATTAACGATAAATTCAGAAGTCTCGATATTTTGTCCAGTGGTTCGTCCTCGAGGGAAAATGGAATCAGGTACATGAGAAACGATCGACTGTACGCTCCGAATAGACAGTAAAAACCCGTGAAATAGAGAGCTGGCCAAACAGCACTCGACATCGCACCCGGCAATAATTCATGTATCGCTCTCTTGATCTGCGAAAATTTCGTCTGTGGAATTATCGAGAACTGGAGAAATTGTACGGCGTAAATATTATATTTTGTGAAGAAATACAATCCGCTCCAAAAACCACCTGAAAGAAATAATTTATAAATTAATATTTACAGAATTTAAACCATTTCTGAATTAAATTTTAAACAATTTAAACAATTTTTAAATTATCAAATCCTGAAAAAAGTTGTAAATAGTAAGAATTTAGTATAGACGATTACAAAGCCTGAATATTATTTTTCTAACACAATTGAAAAATATAAATAAATTATTAAAGTACAGAAACCACAACTCACCAAGAAGTAAAAAGAAATATTCCTCCACAAGACATAAGCCATCAGTGGTGTTGCAATTTTTCGTAAGAGAACTGTAAGGTCCACCCTTAAGCGATAAATGCAACCATGTCAAAATCCCTCCAACAATAATATACAATGTACACAATAAAACATTCCTCGGCCCCAGCATACTGCAGAATATAAAAAATCGATTCGACATATATTTCGGTGGATTTAAATAGTCTTTACTGCACATAAATCCCTGGAGGAATGTAACCGTTGCCAAAAGTAAAAAGTACCACCACATTCGAAAACTGAATATCACGTTCCACGTGTTTAGCATCCATGCAAATGGATTAATGGGATTTAAATTTGTCACGAGAATAATGATGCTCATCAGGAAGAATTGAAAGATAATACTTAATACAATTGCAAGAAACATACGCCATACCAAAAGTTCTTTGCATCCTGTTTTGTTTATTTCATTCACTTTCTCCATTTTCGCAGTTCGCACCTGAATCTTAACCGGTTAACCTCACTTTTTCTCAAATAATATAAACAATCACTTTCTTGACATAAACTTTGAAATTCTCTCTCTCTGAAGCTTCTCGAGGAGAATGCTTTTAAACATCGTTAGGAAAACATTAATCCTTTGATTATGTTTGGAAATTAGGTAAATATTCGGTAAATTTTGTTTTTTGATGACAAAACGATCACAAGCGCAAGGACAACAATGACAACTCGCATGCTTCGCGCCATATTCAATCGAAATTAGTTCTCGTTTGTATCGATAGGTGTCGCTTTAAATTTGGCGGCAAAATTTAAATACTCAAAATATATTCAATATAAAAGAAAAATATTAGACTCGCCAGGGTTGCCACAAATATTTAATTTTATTTTTCCCTGATTTCCAGACAAAATTTTCACTTTTCCCTGACCATAAAAAATATTCTGATTCACTCTAAAAATTATTAGATACTCAAAAAAAACATTCTATTACTTTTTTTTTACTATTTTTTTTTTTTTTTGTTATTTTTTATTTTTTACTATTTACTATTTTTATTTCATTTCTATTTCTATTTACATTTACTTACTTATTTATTTATTTTTTTTTTATCGAATTCGATTAATTTATGAAAATGATTAAATTCTTGTGAAGAATTTAAAAAAAATCTTTTCATATAATTGGAATTCTTTCGAAAAATTTTAATTAAATTATAAAGTGAAAATAAGTGAATTGCTGAGAAGAATTTTATAAAATTTTTTTTAAGTAGTTGAATTCTTGTGAAGAATTTTATAAAATTCTTTTAAAATAATTGTATTTTTGAGAAAATTGATTATTTATGAAAATAATTGAATTTCTGAGAAGAATTTTATATATTTTTAATGAAAGTAATTGAATTCTTGCAACGAATTTTATTAAAATTTTTAAAAAATAATTGTATTACTGAGAAGAATTTTATTATTTATGAAAATAATTGAATTTTTGAAACGAATTTTATTATTTATAGAAATAATTGAATTCTTGGGAAGAATTTTATTTATTTATGAAAATAATTGATTCTTGAGAAGAACATTTTTTTAATGTTTTTTAAATAGTTGAATTTTTGTGAAGAATTTTATAAAATTTTTGAAATTAATAATTAATTATATTAAATAAATATTTGCATTCTTGAGAAGAATTAAAAAAAAATCTTTTTGAAGAAATCATTTTTTCAAAAAAATTTTATGAAAATTGTGTTTTAAATAATTCAATTTCTTTTAAAATTGTATATTATTTATGAAAATAGTTCAATTCTTTCAAAAAATTTTATTAAAATAATATTGAAAACAATTTAATTATTATAAAGGATTTCATTAAAATTTTTTTAAAAAATTGAATTCTTTCAAATTTTATTAAAATTTTTAAAAATAGTTGCATTTTTCGAGGAATTTATTTAAAATTGTATTAAAAATCATTGAAATACTGCGGTGAGTTTTACTATTTATGAAAATAATTGAATTCTTGCAGAGATTATTATAGTTAATTTTTAGAAATAATTGAATTTGTATGTTGAATTTTATTATTCATGAAAATAATTGAATTATTGCGAAGTTTGCTTAGAATTTAATCAAAATTTTTTTTTTTAAATAATTGAATTCTTTTGAAAAATTTTATTAAAACTGTAGATATTGAAAATCATTGAATTGAGAAAAATTTTTTGAAAATAATCGAAATTTTGCAAAGAATTTTATTAAAATTTTTGAAAATAATTAAAATTTGGAGAAGAATTTAATTATTTTTAAAGATAATTGAATTTTGACGAGAATTTTTTTTAATTTTTGAACATAATTGAATTTTTGCGAAGAATTTTATTACTTTTGAAAATAATTGAATTTCTGCAATTATTTGTAACTTCTCCAAAATTCAGTTTTTTCCAGTTACTTAAATAAAAATCCCTGACTTTTCCCTGACCTGTGGCAATCCTGCTCGCATCATCAGTGGAGGAGGAAGAGTCAGTCAAGCCAGTCTTTATGTAAAATCTTTGAATTCACTTTTTTTTTATTTCATATTCGCCTAAAAACATTTTCAGAATATCATAAGTCATAGCATCACTCTCGCGCGCACTCGCATACAAGCATTTGGCAGGCAAGAACTTAAAAAAGAAGAGAAAAAAAAAATAATATCACTACTAGGTCATTGTATCGTAAACAAATAATGATTTAAGAAGAATAATACTCTCGTTGGTCAAGAAAGAAAAAAGTCCCTTGACCATATAGAGTGCAATTCATTTTAAAGCACAAAATACACCTTTTTCTTGACCGGAAATGGGCCTAAAAGAAATAAGAAGGAGAAGGCTTTGCATTGCAGGGAATGCTATACAAAGGGTTAAGCCCATTTTCGATTCATTATCTTTCTCTCATTGAGACAACCACGATATGAATGTTTAAAGGCTTTTTTTTCAAATACGATTTTTTTTCTAAAAAAAAAGGATTAAAGTATTAAAAGCAGCAATGATTAAAAATATCATGTTTCATTTTTTTTCCATACTTATTACAAAACACTACATCTACATATTTTTATCATAAATTTATACTCTTATTTGAAATTCATTTTCTCATTTATATTTTCAAAAAATTTACACATCCATTTTTATTTCAATTTTATTAATTTATATTATTGTATTTAATCTTATCACTGATGTGTATAAAATTCTTTTTTTTTCTTGCATTTTCAATCTTTTTTCCTGAATTTTGGTATTTTAAAAAATGACTGCTCTCAAAAAATTTTATTAAAAATCATGTTTTTCTTTTTTTTCTCTGCTAAAATTGACCCATCCCTCAAATCAACACTCCCCGCTTTAAAACGCAAATGCCTAGTCCTTTTTTATTCCCAATTATCCATGCTGACTGGGGCAGCTACCATTCCTGAATTGACAGCAGTCATATTTGGCCCCTTCAAGGAGTCATTTATTTCCCTTCGGAACATTGATAAATTTTGTGTAAACCTAGAAAAAAGAGAAAAGAAATTAATTAAATGAATTTATTAGTGGCAAGAGAAAATAATAATCTAATTTACCTGTCTCTATTTTTTGTGAGTAAATTTCTCTCGATTCCATCCATTAAATTTTCAAACCATTGAGCCATTGCTCCCTGTTTATCAACTGGCTGACTTCTTATAATATTCTCTCTCAACTGATTGAAATACTGTAATAAAAGAATATTTCATTATTAATATTTTAATAATTCACTAATTGTTTATTTAATAATTTAGTTCAAAATTAGTTTTTATTTAGAAAAAGCAAATTCTATGTAATTATTATTTTCTACGAATTTTAACTGAAACTCTTCTTTAAATGAATTATTTTTAATAATTTTTGAAAAAGTTCTCTTAGAAATTTCAAATCTATTTATTTATAATTCAATTTTACAAAATTTCAATTATTCGTAAATTTTTCAATATTAAATATATATTAGAAAATAAAAACTTCAAATAATTTTTAAAAAATCTAATAAAATTCGTTGTAAGAATTGAATTATTTTCATAAATAATAAAATTCTTCACTTGATTTCAATTATTTTTAATACAATTTTGAATAAAATCCTCGAAAAATGTAATTATTTTCAAAATTTTTTTTTGAAATTCATCGAAAGATATCAATTATCAACTATTTTTAATAAATTTGTGAAAAATCTCTTTGAGAATTTTTAAATCTATAAAAGAGAAAAAAAATGTTGCATTTTAAGAAATTCGGTTTTTCGAAATTTTCATAATTTTTAATAATTTTTTATTTTGTACCAAAGGGTGGAGACTATTAAATAAGTAAAAAATCTTTTAAGAGCCCAAAAATAATGAAGCTAAATGCCATAAAAGAGAAGAAAAAATGTTGAATTTTAGGACATTCGGTTTTTCGAAATTTTCATAATTTTTAATAATTTTTTATTTTGTACCAAAGGGTGGAGACTATTAAATAAGTAAATTGTTTTTGAAGAGCCCAAAAATAATGAAGCTACATGCCATAAAAGAGAAGAAAAAATGTCGAATTTTAAGAAATTCGGTTTTTCGGAATTTTGATAATTTTTTATTTTTTGCTAAAAGGTGCAAGAATTCAATAATTATTTTCAAAATTCTAATAAAATTCTTCACAGGAAACGAATTATTTCCAATATAATTGTAATATAATTTCTCGAAAGAATTTAATTATTTTCAAAAATTTTAGTAAAATTATTGGCAAAATTTCATTTATTTTCAAAAATAAAGAATTTTCTCAATAAATTTTTAAATAATTGAATTCTTTTGACGAATTTAAAAAAAAATTTTAAGAATAATTACATTTTTCGAGTCAATTGATTAAAATTATATTAAAAATATGTAATTGAAATTCTGCGATGAGTTTTATTATTTATGATAATAACTGAATATTTGCTAAGAATTTCATTAAAATTTTTAAAAATAATATTGAATTCCTAATAATAATTTTATTCTTTATGAAAATAATTAAATGTTTGCGTAGAATTTTCTTACAATAATTGAATTCCATCAAGAAATTTTATTGAATTTGTATTGAAAATAATTGAATAATTCCAAAAAAAATTGTATTATTTATGAAAATAATTGAATTCTGTCATGAATTTTATTAACATTTTTGAAAGTAATTGAAATCTTTTGAAGGATTTAGTTAAAACTATATTGAAAATAATTGAACTCTTATAAAGAATTTTATCATAACTTTTGAAAATAATTGGATTCTTTTACGAAACTTTATGAAAATCTCTAAAGATAATTGAATTCTATCAAGAAATTTTATTGAAATTGTATTGAATTGAATAGTTCCGATATATTTTACTATTTATGAAAATAATAAAAAAAAGTAATAAAACTTGTAAAAATACAAATTCAATTGTTTCGAAAAAAATTTAAATTCTTTAGAGGAATTTTTAGATGAAAAAATAACTTTTAGTGTTGTTTCGTTATTTTTCCGACGAATTCAATTAACATTGTATTGAAAATAATTCAATTGTTATACATAATTTTATTAAATAATTCAATTCTTTCGAGAAATTTTATTTCAATTGTATTGAAAATAATTGAATAACAATTCAAGAAGAATTTTTTTTTAATTTTGATTTTGAAAGTATTGAAAAATTGAAGTTGACATTTGAAAATAAAAAATTTTGTAATTTACATAATAATCAAAAATTAAATACTGCGTTTTGTGCGTAACATTTGCTTGTTATTATGTATACTATTTATAAAAATTGAAAGCGCAATTTT